GCATATATCCGATGGCATGAAATACGCACAGCACTTAAACGATTACGATATACGTTTCTGCATAACACAGAAATCAAATGCAAAGGTATGCATATGCGTTGCTAAACTATACATATGTAAATAGGTATGTATATTCACTGCTAGTTAGTGAGTGATTATGAAGAATGTCATTTGCACACACAACAATCGTATACAATTCTTGCTTTTAGATATTTTTTTGTGTAACTATTTCAGATATTCAAATATGATTTAATTTATTGAGTTAAACACCATTGTAAGCTAACTCGAACGATTTTGGAATTTATTTTTTATAAGCGCACAAAATTTTCAATTGAAAATAGTTTTCGAAAAATTCTAAAAAATTAATTGATTCAATTGTAGAAAGTTTAAACTTTCCATTAGTTTTAAAATTCCATTTCAGTTTATAGTGTGAAAATGGTTATCATTCGGTAGATGTTCATGTGTTACTTCACTTAACTTATTCTCTAAAAATTTTTGGAAATCTGTTAAAATCAATCGGCATTTGTCATCAAATGAAATTTAATCAATTATGAATCTTAAAATATTGAGCGAAAAGAGACGCTCACAATTAATAAAATCCAGAGATATTTATATATGTACAAGTATTTTGTATGACATTTTTTGGTTGTACTCTTCGGTTCGGAATTGTATACACGGGAATTTTTTGTTAAAATAAGCCTGCCTTGTAACAACAAAAAAAGAAAAAGAGTTGACATACAAGTATTTACAAAGATATGAATAAGTATGAAACAGACCTAACCTGTGGCCTAAAATTTAGACCGCAATTAAATTTAGACTCTACTTAAATTAAAGGGTTCCACTTGCGAGTCGGAAAACACGCATTTTTGTTAATATGTTTTTTAGTATTATTATACAAGTATTTCATAAATAAATGAAAAAATAATATTTATAGAAATTAATGTACTTTAATAATCGGCGATTAGTTTTGAACATTTTTGTATTGATCCCGTAGCCGTTTTCAAAGAGGAGTTCCGAAAAATGCTGTCTGGCGGTAGGAAAGATTTTTCTGCATAAACTTTTCTCAAATTCAAAAACAAAGGAAAAGAAGTATTATAACTACAAGTAAAGATGAATACAGGTAATGATCGGAATACTAGTAAAAAATTTTGTTTATGACATAATTGCGGCTTTCCAAGAAAAAGGCGTTTATTGGAAAAAAATTTACACTTCAGTGGCTTAAAAAATCTCTTCAAATGTTTGATTCTATACATATATCTAAGAAAGTCGTGTGAAGAATTTCTAGTCGATCGGTCCAGCCATTTTGGAGAAATTTTTCTCACCAACTCTGAAAACAGCGGAAAAATGATTTACAATTTTGAGAGACGATTACATACATAGATTAAAACTTCTTTACAATTACTATCATTATTCCAAATATATGTGCCTTCGATATATAGGCAAAAAAAATAGATTTTGAAATTCACAAATGGATACAATCCCTAAGACAAAGTCTGACGCGAAAGTGACGAAGCTTATGCGCAGAATTCATTCAATATATACTAGGATTGTTATCTAAAAATTATATACAGAAAGCCTTTAAAAAGAAAACAGTTAAACACTGTAATTTTAAGTTTCATAGACAAAGAACAAGATTTTTGTTATAACTTAAATTTTTAATATTTTTGTACATGACTTTTTAAATAGAAAGCTGAAACGTTTCGTAAATTATTGCCAATATTTGAATTAGGTTAAGTTAGATTTATCCTTCTCTTTACCGTGCTTTATTATATAATATTTTAATTTGTGCTCTAAATTTATTCTCTGCGCATAAACACGTTCATCTAAACTGACCTATAATAATTAGTATGATTTTACATTACTTTATAAAAAATTAAATTTAATTTTAAAATAAAATTTTGTAAACTTACTAAGTTTATTGCTCTTAATCTACTGTTATTTTTCGTCGTTTGACAGTTTCATAGAAAAAGCTAAATTTAACTATATTTTGACATTTTAATTTATCTATTCGATTCGTTTCTTTCTACTACTATTTTTTTGCATTTCATCCCATTTAACGTTTTCCAAATTGCGCAGAGATTATTTTTGTGGGTTTTTTTGTTTCAACTGTCACTTCTTTGGACATTTCCGTTGGCGCGTAAAATTATGTTAACTTTGCAAAAGAATTTGAAATTAAAAGTAAAATAAAGCGCAAAGCGTGTCAATGTGAATAAAGTGAATCGAATTGTATCAATAAAAAAATGTAATATTATTTGAAGTATATGAATTGCAATAAAAAAGAAATATTGAATCCCCGTGACACATTTTCCTGCGCGTTTTGTGTTGTTGTTGGCTGTTGGGCTCAACGGCAGCGTAGCGTGAAATTTGAATATGCTGCCGATTGGGATTTTTTCTTAACGCGAGAAAATAAAGTTAATTTGGTTTTTACACGCGTAGCTACAAATATTGCATTGATTGACTGACAGATAAGGTTGCTATTGCTTTTTTGAAAGTAAAATTTAAATGTTAAGTTCAAATAAATATTGCAATAAATTTAAGCATTGCCTTAAAAATATTTAAAATAAATTTGCCAATTAAAAAACAAAATATGTATTACCACATAAGAAAAAAAGTTTTTTTTTCATCAAAACTATTGTTTCTTGTATTCAAAAGGCATATCAATTATTAAAAAGGCATAACTCGAGTTATTAAATTTTTTCTCTCAAACGCCACGTGCTTCAAAATGAACAACTATATTTTTAAAATGCAAAATATCATAGTTACCGACGCATTATAATCAATGCAATAATATTTTGCATTTAAAAAAAATACACTTTTTGTTGTTGTAGAGTTGCGAGACAAAAAGCTATTTTATGTTGCGTTTATTTACACTTTGTGCATAATAGTTTAATCCGCATATTATGACATATATGAATTTTAAATCAATACATACACACACACACACAGCCACACAAATATTTATAAAAGCACATGGCAATACAGCATAATCTAATGCCGTTTGTTTTTTTTAACAATTGTTATAAGCAAATATTTTGTGAGATAATGTCTCTGTGTATATATTTGCATATTCCACAAGATAATACCGTTTAATGTGCAAGCTTATTGCATTAAATATTTACGCGGATAAAATTTTAAATATTCATATTGTATTTACTTAAGCGTATTAATGAAAATTGAGAAGTGTAGCGATATGGCAACAGTGTTGGGTGTTTTCTCTTTTAGGTTACTAAACTGTTATTTGATGATTAGAAAGATTTTAATTTTTTTTAAATTTAAATGAAAATAATATTTTAGCAAAGTTAGTTTATTTGTGTCAAAAATGTGGAAAAATTTGTATATATTATATATTTGTTACGGTGTATTATAACTGCATTTATATCTAAATAACTGCCTGTCACCTAACCTACTTGTTTTAACTGCCTAATTTTGTCGATCTTTATTTACATGTCATGCCGAGTTAGTTTTATACTTACATATGTTTGTATTCATGAGTATATACGCGCATTAATACATACTTCCAGAGAAATATGTATTGAGAAAATAGTGCACAAACAAGAAATTCAAAAATATCTCAACAATACATCATAGTAGTATAATAATATTAGGAAAGTTTAAAAATTCGGTCCAATAATAGGTCCGTTTTATATACCTCTATCGCAGCACCATCTAGCGAAGGTTTACGTATCTAGTGTTAGTTTATACAGTAGAAAATTTTACTAGTTCGAGTTTTACTCTATATAAGAGGTGGAAGTACCCTTTTCTGTTGTTATCTAGCGTTCCGACGACGGAAAGTTAAGAAGCATAGAAAACTTTGGTAATCGTTCATCATTATTATCATATATTATTCTCTAAGTTCTTCAAGTATTTGTAGGTAATTCTTCGAACATAAAGTTTTTTATCTATTATGACTTCGTTCAACTAGGCTACCAAGTCACAATGATAGCTATTGTACTTCACTGGCTTTAATCAAACTATCGCCATCCTCACGACATTTTGCATACTCTTTACAAACTAAAAACCTGCATGAAATCTTGACTTTTAATGAACTCAGAATCTCAGTTCCAATATTCGATATCACTCCCTTATTTTGTGGTGTACTAAGGTGAGGAACAATCTGGTTTTTATATGATCTGGTCTTTTATATGGTCTGGTCAAAAAAAGTTTATAAGTTTTCAATAGATAGATTAAGTTAATCTGTATCTTTTGTTTTATAACGGAGATCGAGTTAAGCTATGTGGCACTAGAAGGATAATATTTTGTATTACAAAATTTCCCAGACTGGTTTGCAATTTCCGGGCTCTATATTGTTGGAGCACGCGTCAAAAATAGACACCAATAAAGAGAAAAAATACAAATATTTTCCCAACAGGATCTCCTAATTATGTGTTTTCAACATGTGTATTGTATATAAATATCTGTTTCCGCCCGAATTCACTCCTTCCCTACATGTTTTTTATCAATTTTGCACATATCATTTGACTTCTGTAATATATCCTTAGAAACGCGTATAACCATTGTTGCTCTTAATGACCCAAAATAATTTAAAACACACACTTCATCTCTCATTTTTTGGCAAAATCCTTGTGCTTCTTCTTATCGGATGCTAAAATGCAATTCGCTGCAATGCAGCTCATTTACACACTACTCGCTGTACTGCTTTGCTTTTTATGCTTCCACTTCCTTTGCTACACTGCATTAATATAACAAACAGTATAATTAAAATGTGAGACAAAAAGCTTCTTCGCACTGCACACACATACAGATACTCATGCATGCATACAAACATACACACATGCATACTAGGGGTGGCCAAAAAAAACTTTTAATATTTTTTTATCGAATGCAATGTCGAAAAAAACTATTAAAGTTTGAGCTTTTAATAAAAAAGTTAACAAGTTGTAATTTGCGATTGAAAAAAGCGTTTAAAAGACATTTTGTAATTACATAGGAAGTCTTGAAAATATTAGCAATTTTATTTTAATATTTGTTTTGACTTTTTGAACTTTTGTAACAACTTACTTGGAAATATTGAAATTGATTGAATATTTCGCGGTACTTATAGAAAAGAAATTAAAGTTTTTTTTGGCCCACCCTAATACATACGCACATGTACTGTGCTGTATAGGAGTATATGCATATGTGTATTGATGTGTGTGTATTGTTGTTTTGCCCGTGGCAGAGCAAGGATTTCCTGCGCTCGTTGTCGTTGCAGCTTCTCATTGCAGTGATTTCATAGCGGACCCCTGTCATACCGTTATCGTTTGTGCACGAACTCACCTTGTGCTTGTGCCATTCGCACGCTTCCGCTTGCCGTTAGAAGAATGCAGTATACCGTGAGAAACTGACAAAACAATGACAGTGTGGCTCTAATGGTGTTGCTGCTGCTTTTGTTGCCATTGTTGTTGCTGCTGCAGTGGAGACGATGCCTCAGGTGCGTTTGTGGTGGCATTTTTGTGTGTTGCTGCTGCCGGTTCTCGGCGTTGTTGGTGTTGCTGCTGACGCTGTGCAGCGGATGCGGAAATGGCGCCATTTGTGCTGTTGACGCCATAATGGTGCGCAAAATGCAATACAAATGTTGTTAGTGCGCGCGTGTGGCCGTGTTAGTAGCTGCAAAAAGTAAAAACAAAAAAAGTAATTAAAAAAAGAGCCGTTATGATATTTAGCAAGTGCTAGCTGCTGTTGTTGTAAGTAAGTGAATTTTGGCAAAAATTTCAATAAGCGCATATTTGTACGAAAATTTCGTGTTGGCTGCGCGACGTGTGACTTGTGTGTGTTGTAGCAATAGCAACAACAAATTGCTACGCAAACACTATATTGCGTAACAATTTGGCGCACAATAAATTTTCCATCAATTTTACTAATTAAAAAGTTGCCACTTTGCACAATGGCAGGCAATGCGACAGCAGAAAGGCAAATATAAAGTGAGCGAAGCGGAGAAGCGAAAAACCTGGCATGAAACAAAATTGAAGTGCGCAAAATTGAATGTCGCAAACATACACACACACACACATTTACATGCACATACTCTCACAACAATTTAGCAGCACTTCATTGTCGGCATTTGTTTTCGCAGCATTCTCAATCAGCGCTGTGACAGCGTCGCACTTTGTCCTCCGCCTCGCCAACTAATGCGTGCCGCTCTGCTCCTTTCTCCCTCTCGCTGACCCGCATAAATGAATTATGAAATAATTGGTTTAGCAATCGCTTTGCAAAGCCACTCAGCAGCACTAAATTCCAGCTATCCAGCTATCCTGCTTCTTCATTAACATCCGCGTCGCCTTCTTTGCACGGTTTTGTTGTACTAGTGATCTCAGCACCTCTATGCCGTTAGTACCCTTGTATTGTGCGAAATTTTAACAACGCTTTCAATAACTTAAATGCTAATGCTACACTTAAACTGCTTAACATGCTGTGTGACGCGGCGCGGCGTGACGTTCAATGGTCGGTTTTCCGAAAGCAGCTTTGGCTGAGTCCACTGCCGTTGATCCGGCATTGAATTCCGCTAAGCACCATTTAACCACTGCTCCGCCAACCAGCGTTACTATTTTATTGTTGTAACAATGTCGCTAGTTATGACACTGCCGTTAACTGCCGCTCACTCACACACACCACCTCGCTATATCCATCTATTCATCTCTATCTCTTTCGCGCTGCGCCACGGGCTCATTTCTTATCGCTGCCGTTTGTTCTTGTCCTTTGGATTTCTTGAGTTACAAATGGGAAAAGTTGCAGCATTTCAACTGCAATGGCAAGCGGCGCAGTGACAGCATTTTACGCCAGTTACCCGCTGTGCTTTATGGACTGTCGCCATTCACTCAACTCAACTCGCCGACATTGTGCCAATGTCTCTGATTTCACTTTACTTTCCATGCGTCAACATTTTAATTACAGAGTTCTTGCGAATGTTTCGCTATGCGTTGCAATTCCAGACGCCGGACGCACTGTGGTGTCCTTTAGGGGAATAAGTGAATCGTTTAAGGGTTCTGCGTCAAGATAGTTCAGAGAAAATCGGTGCGTCGCTTGGGAGTGTCTTCTATTTGAGAGTGCGGAGCACTATAGAAATCGAACTTGTCTTATGAACGGGAATGTTCGTACACATCTACCGATACATGCGTTTCACTAAAATAAATCACGAAAACTACGTCTCGAATAAGTCTCCGACTAACATGCTACTCTGAAAAAGAGGCTGATGTTTAACTAGTATCAAGATCGACATTAACCACAAGATAGAATTTATCAGGAAAAGTATAAAAAAGTATCTTTCGTTTTGATGTACGATGTTCAATTATAAAAGATCAAATTTATAGAGCCCTTCTGCACGAAGTGTTTTCTGTTTCAGAGGCTATCTTATCATTTCATAGGAGTCTAGCGCACGAGGTTTTCAAAAGCATATTATATCATAATAAGTTCGGTAACAAAATCAATTTTTCGAATATTATCTTTATCGAAATAACAAAAATAGTGGATCATCCTTTGAAACACCATCGAGAGGTTTTCGATCGAACGTTTTCTAAAAATTATCCAGAAGTAAAAGAAGCTTATAATAGTATATTCAAAAGTGTCAGCAGAAATGAACTCAAGTCACTTAGGTGAGATGCTTGAGATTTTCGACCTCGAAATTAATATATAGTATAACGAATCGCCTCTAGCTCTTTTACAAAAAAATTACTCAGTTTTTTAAAATATTTATTGTTGTTTACAGAACAGCCCAAATATGGTCGGATCGGGTCGTTGAGGAAATGCCATCTACTGCTCAAAAGACAATCCTCGTTATAACTGTAGCAACTATATTCTACTATATGTAATTCTAAGCCCACCGTGCAAGGCGTTTAAACACATCAAAAGCACTAAAATGCGATCCGCATGAAGCGTAACGCAGTAGCAGGAACTGAGAAATTCTATTAACTTATGAAATTACAAGAGAAATGAAAACTTATAACAAGAAGTCATTAAGTCACAAGGAATTAAAAACTAAAAAGTCAAATTACACTAAGGCTAAAAGAAAACAAATATAGTTGCCGTTGAGAAAATCTGAAGAAAAAAATTCTATCACCTAAAAAGAGAAAAAATAATATAACGCAGCTAACAGAAAAGTGACAGTGCGCAACGGCAGAAGGAAGGTAAAGAAATAAACAAATCAATGTGTGCGTAAATGTATAGAAAGGATATGAGGCATAATTGTGAGGAATTTAGAGGAAGAGGGAAAAATTTTTAGTAGTGAAACTGCAATGGTACACATCTGTACAAGTGAAAACGCGCTCACGAAACTATGCGACTCACAAACCCATATGACAGTTTTGAAGAGAAACGATATCATAAAGGCTGCTCTCTCTTTGGTGGTCAATGACTATAGCTCCGTAGTGTGTGGTCGGTCTAAAAATTTCGCTTATATTGAACACAAGTTCGAGTTTTAAATATATGTAGTTTTTAGCTCTAACCGAATTCTCAGATAATAAGATATTACTTCGAGAATTATATTTAAGAAACTAGTAATAAAGAGTAACAGTTGCGAAGTGGTATTTATTGAGGATTGTGTACATAGCAAAGCTGGAAGCACCGGAAATCGGGAAATTTACATGTTATTTTGATTTTCAAACAAAAGTTGTAAACATTAAATACGACCTGAACTCGGATTGTCTAAGGGTTTTTAAATACCACCGTTATATGCCTGCTTTGTTCATATTTGTCCTATTCTACATAATTTTTAACTGGTCTTGAGCTACTCCAAGATAATTGAAATAGGGAAACTAACATAGAATAAATCATAATCTCTTTACTTTAGCACTAGTATTTTTGTTTGTTTATTGCGTCTTTTTACTGTGTTTAATATATATAGATATTTATATATAAATAAATGCATGTGTCCGCATTCGCTAATGGTTGGCGTATATTTATTTCAGGCAAAGTAGAAAAAGAGTTCTTTGCGCATTGCAAAGTTGTATTTTCTAATCATGAAATTTTAAAATGTTGCATAGTTTTTCTTACTTCTCTTTAGCGGCATGTTATGTTAGGCAAGTTAAGTAGGCTGTCACAAATTTTTTTTTAAATTTTGACATAAACTAAAGGGCTTTAGAATGAAGAGCTTCTACTGTTAAAGTTTTCTGCGAATGTTGCCACCTGTCTAAATTTATTAAAATTTTTTTTTTAAATACTTTTACTTTATCGGAAAGAAACTACTGAGCTTCGAGAAGGCTTGGAGTTGAAATTATTTTTGGGAATGCTTGCCACTTGTATAAAACATTTTATTTAATTAATAAAATACATGCTTTGTTAAAATATAGCCAACAAACTTAATTTTGTTACCAAGTTTTTATATCCTGAACAAGAATAGTATGTGTGTCCGTACTTCTAACTGGATATAAGCGAATTAGTGCCTCAGTTTTTGAGACATCGATCGGAAATTTTGCACACAGTCTTTTTTCCTAAAAAAGCTGCTTATTTAGCGGTACTGCCGATATCGGACCACTACAAGTATAGCATATTGCTGCCATACAAACTGAACGATCCAAATTAAGTCCCTAAATGGAAAACTTTTTTATTTGACAAGAATTTCTTCACGAAATTCGGCATGGATATTTGTCACAGGCAACGGTACAAGTTCTTGTATGCAAACTTTTTTGTTTCGTGAAGGGTATTTATTATAGCTTCAACGCTACCGAAATTAACGATTTCTCCTGTTTTTAGAAAGGTTGCCACGTTTTCCGCAGATTATACTAAAAAAAGCAAATCAGATATGGGTTTAAGTATCCTTTTATAAAAATTTCTTAAGCACCTGTTAAGTGCCACTTAAATCATATTTTATATCGTTGCTTTTATTTGTCATTCACATAAACATACACAAATGCATTTAGATACATATTACACTTGATATGATTTTGGACTTGCTTGGACATCTGCTAATAAGTGGCACGTGACTCGAATGGTAAAAAAGCACGGAAAACCAGAAATAAACCGGCAGAGTGCTTTCAAAAAAAAAAAAAAAAGTTAAGGCCCAAACCTGTGCGCGCACATATACGAGTATACCTATGTACATAATATATACACACTCAAGTGTTGACGCTTCGTAGCGCCATTCACACGCTCATTCACTATTCATACGCTACATTCCGTTCCAGCTGTTTAAATGCTAAGCGACACACGTTTCGGTTATTTTTTGGTAGTTGGCTAGCAGCATTAAACCGGTATTATAGTTTTTGCTTATTTATGAGCTCTTTATAACGGCGCTTAAGCATATAATTCACACCTGATTAACATACTTACTTACTTATTTATAAGTTTGTTTGGCGGCTCATTTGCGCCTGTGTCTATTTGGTGATAATTAATTCAATTTTATGAAAAAAATGTTAATATATGTTTTTTTATTCTCTTTTACATTTCTGCTTGTTTTATAATTTATTATTTTTTTTATTACTTAGTATTATCATTTTAATTAATCGTATTAAATCTTTTGTTCGTTTATTCGGCACAATAGCAAAATTATTTTAAAATTTTATTTATTCATTTTTTAATTATATTAACGCAAGCATATTTTGTGTAGTTTCAAACAGTTCTTAGAAACTTTCGTGATTAAAGCTTGATATATATGTTCTCATATCCTAATGACTCTATATATACTTGTCTTGACTCAGATATAACAAAAAATACATATTTGCAAGAACACAAAAATCGTCGCAGTAAGCCTCGACTTGTGCCGGTGCTCGCTTTCAGTTTTCTCGTTATCTCGTTTCAGTTCATTCGTAACAAACAAAATCATTCGTCAATAACTAACTTCTCGCTTTTATTTTTGTCATTATGAGGTAGATGTTTTTATTTATATTGAAATTATTGTTGCCTGGCTCTAGAGTAAACCATTTTAACCGTTCCAAAGTAATCTATAACCGTGAATGAACTTGAACGTGAGGTAACAATTTATTTAGCATATTTTTGATGCCTAGGGCTTGAACAACCCAATGTACTATTAAATTGGACAAGACTTTGAGAGGGTCCCAATGACATTAAGATGGACTTTAAAGAGATATACTTTATAAAAAGTGTTACAGTGATCGGATTTAGTTAAAATATGCGCCGTTTTGTTCGATGATCTGTTTCCATCTAGACGGCAACTTCATAATACCTTCCTCGTAGAAGCCCCCCTCCTTATTTGCGAAGAATTCGGACAGCCACTTTTCACAAGCCTCTTTTGAGTTCAACTTCACACCACCAAGGGAATTCGCCATGGACAGGAACAGGTGGTAATCACTTGGCGCGACGTCAGGGCTATATGGTGGATGCGATAAAACCTCCCATCCGAGCTCCCGTAGCTTCTGACGAGTCATCAACGAAGTGTGTGGTCTGGCGTTGGCAAAACGTTGTATTCAGGCGGAAGGAGACTATTTTGAAGGCGACCAATAAATTTTTCAAAAAAAAACAAATAATATTCGTTTTTTAACTATTCGTCCTGAAACTTTTGAATTGCACCTTGTATCTGCCAAGAAGCTGTTAGGTCATCAGTTTTTATTATATTGAGAATTTTTTATGTAGCGAGAATGATAAAAATAACAACAACAAGGTGTGTAGAGGCAAAATCTTTGAATTTTCCGCATCACTTAGTCTTGTAGTGCCGAAAAGATTGCGAGGTCAGAACTGTAACAATTATAATATCCTTTATAAATAAGATATACAAGTGAAATATTTATAAGTTATTTATAAATTATATATAATCATTGTGAGCGCAATTATTATTTTCGAGCATTTACGTGAAAATTTATTTCCATTAAATTTTCCTTTTCAATTTCCTCCCATGCTTAATCCGTTCTTATGCGCAGAACCAATTACCGTTATAATGTTGAATCTACAGGTTAACGCGCTTTTGCCAAAAATCATTTTCAATTTTACGCGACAAATTCTTCTCATTGGTTCACGCATATACATACATACATATGGTACATACATACATATATAGCCGTGTAGGCCGATGTGTAATACCCACTCTGGTTGGCTGTCAGAGCATTTTGTGGCCTTAAGCTTTATACGCACATACACATATATACAAACATCCATAAACGCATTATAGTTAATAAAGTGCATGTCGGCCAACGATGGGCATACATTGCTTTTATGTAAGCGAATATGTGACTGTTGGTGTTCTGTGTATATATGTATTTGTATAAGCTACAGCATGCATGTATGTGTGTGAGTCCATGTAAACCACTACAAATTGAATTTCATTACATGACGTCAATTAAATACGTGTAACATTCAATCAGCGTTGACATTTTAAAAACTACAGCCATGCAGCAGGTTGTAATACCTTTTACACACACACTCACATACACATACATATGTGTAATCGCAAGCAATTTTCCAGTTAGGCTTGTTGGCGATAAAAGTTGAAAGACGCACGTTGTTGGCGGCTACTAAAATGTCACTTACCCGCAGCCAATATTATTGTTCAACAACAACAAGAAATGATAATGTCAGGACGAAAATATACTGGTAAATATTCGTAATACGAACAGCTGGCAACGTAAATTTCCATTAAAGAATTACATTAAAGTTTGAGCAATTAAACATCATTTGACAGTTAGTTATGCTGGGACTTTAGTCTGACAAAACTCTTCGGAGCACTGTGCTTAAACAATTGCGGTTTATAATAATATAGTAGTATTCAATGCGGCAGTTAAGCTTGGCACTAAGGCCATGTGTTAAGGACAGGGTTCTGTGTTTCTTTTACTTTTCAATATGCCAGAAATGACGATTATTCATAAATTTGCACTATACCGAGAAAATATATTCAAATCGTTACAAACTGTACGCGAAGATATCTTGTCAAATAAGAAAGTTTTCCATCAAAGGATTTGATTTTGTTTGATCGATTTGGCAAATGTATCTTATAGTGGTCTGATATCGGCGATTCCAAAAAAATAGCAGCGTCTGCGGGAGAAAGAACGTATGAAAAATTTCAAAACGAAATCTCAAAAATTAACTTCGCATATACATGTATACCGACAGACGGACAGACTGATATGGCTAAATCGACTCTGCTCGTCACGCTGATCAATTATATATATAATATATTGTACTTTATAGCCTTTCCGACGCTTCCTTTTAGGGTTTCACAAATTTCGTGACAAATTTCCTGTATATACCCTGTTCAAATTAATATACCCTGTTCGGGGTATAAATATGTGTGCGAAATTTAGTAGACGCTAAACATGATAAGTTTCTCTAATCTTCTACGTAGAAATCATATAAAATAGGTTAGGTGTTATAGGTTACTCGCTGGTTATCTGACAGTTCACAATTATCTATGATCTCATAAGAATACACGTATGATTGACTTGATGTTTCAAATATCTGTCCGGGTTTTAACAACCCATATAGTTCAGCTTGATTTGGATTCGGGGTTGGGTATCTTTTTATTGGATAGCAGCCGATTTTCGCTTACATCGGTGTCACTCTATATAAAAGAAAAAATGTAAAAGTAATCGCCGATGTCAACCATATTCACTTCATACTAAGCGAAAGTTGGAAAATTGAAGACATAAGCATGTCGAGATAGATGCTGAGGGTATATATATAAATGGTCAGGGTCGATTAATAGGCTATTCCGTTAGTCTCAAAAAAAAAAAAAAATTGAGTGAAGCAACAGGAATGATATTCCTAGCACAGCTTTAAGCTATTTGGAACTAACTTTAAGCTCCTAAGAATATTTTTTCCATTCTTTGGTATATCATGGAGCTCTCAATTCTAATATTATGGCCTGAAATTATAGCTTTTGAAAATGCCAAAGCTGTTACTTAGAAAGAAAATTTAAATATTATTTACC